TTATGAAGGACATCCTGTCTCATGTTTCGGGTCTTCCCGGTAAGCCTTTACACAATTTCCTCGCTCCAGAACAGGATTCTACTGAGCAGGAATCAGTCATGATTACTCGTATGGACCATACGACAGTGCGAAAGATGCTGTAATGCGGTTACGCTATCTAAGACCAGCTTTTGAACTGCGGGAACAGTGGTCATACAACAACCAGGTAACGTAGAATGGGCAAAACCGCGAAATCCTTCTTACAAGATACGAACAGATGTTCATGGTGGCCTCACACATCATCGAAACTTATTCCGGACAAACCTACACCTCTTTTGTGGAGGATCGGATATTCACGCCCCTAGGAATGTTCTTTTCCACCTTCTCACCAGAAAGCTGGGAAGACGGGAAAATTCACACAGGGATGGACTGGCAGTGGCAGGCTCCTGCCTGAGTGGTTCACAGAAGAGATGGCGATGCTGAAGGCCGGTCCAGGTGGTGTAATCTCGAACGCCATAGACATGGTAAGTTCTTTTCACCTTCATTATATTTCACTAACTGATAGTGTTGTCGTCGTCGTCCAGTCGAAATGCGGTGTGGCTGTTAATAAGGGTGTGCACGACAACGTTACAGTCATACCGCTGTCTGTGCATGGAAATGCATCGCAGTCGTACTCCGTATCTATCAACGCCCCAGATGATTCTGAACACTCGATTCAGGGGTATGGGATGGGATGGTTCCGAAACTCGTACCTCGGACATGATGTAACAAATGTTCATTCGTTCATTCCCACGATTACTGATGTCAGAGGATTAGGTCGTATATCACTCGGGATCAATTCCAGGTCTCTCCACGCTGGTCTCATTCCTTCCAGATGATGATGTTGGAGTTGTAGTTTTTGCCAACGGGGGCGATCGAGCAACGCCTGTGATGAATATCTCTAACCGCATAATTGATGCTGCTCTGCACCTGCGGTCGCAGCCTTCACCGTTGATGTTCGTTCTTTTCATTGTCCAATGCTACTTTTGTCTTTGCTTACATGTCATTGATTCACCCAGCATGCCTGAGAAGAAAGCAATCACGCCTCAACATGAAGGCGTCGTTGGCTTGCAGCTTGCAGTCGAAGCATTTTCGGGCACATACGCCAACCCCGGATACGGCGTCCTCTCCTTTTGCAGTCCCTCCAGCAGCTCCTCGTATTGTCGAGATGTGATCTCCGACTTCACTGCAGTGGATGCAGCACAGTCAAGTGCTCCTAATTCGCCTCAGCTGCTCGCAGCCTGGCCTCGCGTATGGGCATCTCATATTCGGGCTGTGCATCAGTCTGGAAATACGTTCTCGGTGCAGTACACCTCGTTGTTCCCTGAAGGGTATGGCGAGACAGTACGCCATTCGAGACAGCGGAAATAGGGACGTCCCAGGCTACAGCAGAGTTTGTCGTGGAAGATGGAAAGGTTGTTGGGTTTGGCTTGGTCGGGCTGGTTGGTCAACTCACGGAGAGGGAGCGAACACATACGACTGTGAAAGACCGAGCTGAAGTGTGGTTCGATAAGGTATAGTGATACAGATACTTTCAAATGTACAACAGACAGCTTTCAGCCTCTCCTACAACATATCGTGGGGGGAGCTGCGAGGCGATGACAGTTACCAGTTTCGTTGTCCAAAGTCACTTCATTGTCGATATTGAGATTTCTAGCTCCCGGACCTGGTGCGATAGCCTGAATCCTGTGTACACGTTCGGAACTTGCCTGTGATGAACGTGGGAATTGATCTCATGATTTGGAGCCCAAACCGACTACACGGACAAATTCCAGAGCATGTTGAGGAAATCATGACGGGTTTCCTCACTCGGGTTAGTAATACCCGTCCTTACTTCATAGCAGGAATATTATTGACAATCGTATAGAATCTATGCGAGGGACCGAGTGAAATATCCATCCCTTGGCGATATAATTTTCATCGCATGCTGAAAGGCATCCCAAATTTGAAAAGTCTTGACTGTGCAGAGATGGAAATATATGATAGCGAAGAAAGCCCATCTGGAATTTTCCTGGTCCTGAACGGCTAATGCAAGTGGTGGTACTGATTCCATACAAATGGTGTCTCGGCACGAATTTGCATTCCCCTGTTTGGGACACCCCCACGATGACCATCACTCCTGACGAAGTGATACACTTGGCGGCTAGCCTACAGTTCCTTGCGGTGAAGAGCATTATTGGCACCTTTTGTAGTGTCGGGGATCGCACTGCGCAACGCCTGGCCGTGTTCTATAAGATTTTCTATGACAAGATGGCCAGAGAGCGGTTCGTGAGGATACGCGCTTCTACCAACGCATCGTGTCCATGCATATCGGCCTATGATATATCATGTGCGTCCTTTTACTTGTCACGGTGAGCTGACGACACGCTCTAGGCCTGTAATCATGCTGAGGCTAACACGTTGCCTGGCTTGTTGCGAGCTGGCATTGACCTTGCTTCGCAAGGTGATATATTGTTCCAGGCCAGATTGCTGATGAACTTTGCTTCACAAGGTAGATCTTAGGTGGCAATCTGCTGTAATTGCAGATATCATCTGTTCGAAAGGGGATGTCAGGTGGATTGGTTCTTCCTACATCGTCATGAAGAGCAATATCTAGCACATAAAAGCAAGGTGTCTTCCTACCATCCACTTCAGATTTATTCGATCTAATATCACATCCTCACCAACAATGCATTTCTCCTTCGTCCTCGCCGTCGTTACTGCTTTGACAGTATCGATATCTGCCAGTGATGCTGACAGTGAAAAATGTCCTATCTTTTGCGTGCTGACGAAAGAGTGCAGAGGCTGCCCCTGGCTATCATGCGTGAGTATGAGTGGTTTTCATTCTGGATTTAACCACATCACTCACCGACGTGGTAGGTCGCCTTTGTATGCTCTGAGCAGTTTGATGCTGACTTGATCAATGTTCAAGTTCTGATGGTTGCCTTGATCGAGTGGCAAAGGAACCGATCACGATCGTCGACGAAAAGTTCAGACCCCTTAGTATTCTCCCAGATATAACTAGTTCGACGTGATGCAGCGAGAGAGGTTCATTGGCGTGTTGATCAAAGGCTCTACCGTTCAGGCGATTGGCTACGCTCGTTCTTTCTTCTGTATTATGTAGTAAAATATACCCACTGACCTTAGCGTTGTGGTATTATTACTATCAACTTTGCGTGCGATAATATTGGCGGAACGGTCAACAAATGAGATCGAATCTCGGATCTTTCACATCGTCCCCCGCAAGATTTGCTAACTTACACGTCGATGAACAGCTAGCTTGTATGTAAGCCGTTAGTACCGCATTTTAGGTGTTGCAATCGGCAGGAGAGAGACATAGTACACCGTCAACTTCGTAGTATGCGTTCAAAGAATCCGGCGTAGCCGTTTGCACAGAGGATGACAATGAAAAATACCGCATCTATGCCATCCTTTGTGCAAACGGCTGTACCGCTGAATACCTGGCCATTCTATCTAAGATCCTGCTAGTTAGTAGGAAGAACTGGCAGGCGTTGATCGCGATGGGTTGTTTTGTACCTTGGAGCCTGGACAGCTGAGTTTGTTTCACAGTTTGTTTCTGTGTGTGTGGCGTGGCAATGTGTGACATGTCGTGACAAGCCAGTGACTCGTATGTGACACGGTCACCTGGGTGTCCCAATAAGTAAGCCTTATTAGGCTGGACGATTATGTGTCTCACCCACGCTTATTTGGCTCAACAGCGAAGATTCCTCAACGCCAGCATTAAATATTGCCCTAAATCATGTAGGTACTTGAAGCATTTACCTGTTCTACCTATCTAATTGCATACTAGATTATCTTCCCACCAGCAATGCCTCCCGCCCCGAGCTTATACTCCCTGACTTCTATTTGGCGCATTCCCACGCACTCCTGATACTCTCCACCATAGTGTACAACGCCCAACGCCTCCACACCCAATGCCTCGCAGCCCAATGCCTCCCGCCCCTGAACATTCACTCCCCACCATCTATTTGGAGCATTCCCATGCACTCCTGGTACTCTCCACCACAGCATACAACATCCACCGCCTCCCGAGTCCCAGCCTCTCAGATCTCACTGACCACAATCGTCACCGGTCTCATATCAGGCCCTGCCTCCTTTAATATAGCCCACCATAGCACTATGCAGCATTTTCACCTTGTACTTGTAATGTGTCCTCTGCCTTGTGATCATAACATATCCTCTGCCTCATGATTGCCACATGTACTAGGCTTGTATGTATGCCCTCTGCTACTCTCTCTCTGCCCTCTCAATGTCTCACTCACAGAAATCAACCAAAATCAGTGGCTTGTCAAAATCGGTCATCACACATGGTTTCAAACACGGTCAGCGTACTTCTGGTGTGCTTACTGCTTCAGCTCAAAAGAAGCACATGGATGCTGTTGATGCTAGGTGCCAGTCTGAGTTGTGAGGTATGTCCATTGCATGACCACCTGTCACGAATTCCAAATACAAATCATTTTTTGTTCCTGGCTTTCCTCCAGCTACTTCTAGTTACGAACTGGTCATGTGACTTCACTTCCCGTCACATCTTCACCTCTTCACATATCACCAGTTGTTTCACTGATTGGTTCCCCAACTCCATGGGCTAGAACAATCTCGCTTCCGAAAAAAGTACCGGTCGGATCTTGGGCTTCTATTTAGTCACTGTATGACTCATCACTTATATCATGATGTCATGCTCAGTCATCCGCAGTATCGTACGACTCTTTATAAGTAGGTTAGTTAGTGTAAGTACTCCTTAGACTTAACCTCTTCATTTCCACACTGGTGGTAGACCTAGACGTTCACACTCAAATCTATCTTGTTCATCATCATCCTTCTTGACTGAGTCCTAGTGGTTGTGTGTTAGTCTTTACCATTTGGTGAACGCTAGTCATAGCACCACCGCTCAGAGCTGATGTAGTCTTAGAGTTGAATGCAGTGGATTGAGAAAATGTCGAGCATGCTTGCTGATCAAGGCATGATCACTGATGACATACCATATGAGCCAGCCCCAGGTGAGGGGGACTTGACCTCAGCCACAAAGGTGGCAAATACGAGGCTTTTGAAGGGCTGTCTCACACAATGGCAGACCTTTTGGGATTGTAGGTGTGCATTTTGTTTTGTACATACACTTATCAATTCCTTGTCAGCCACTATGTGGACCCTAGGACTTGACACAATCATACTGACCTTCAAACAAATCATTGGGACATGCAAATGAACGAACTCATTCATGCCTATCTGGACTACCAATCTCGCGATTCTGGAGATGGTATACCTACTGTCTCAAATGAAAATGACAATCCTTCTCTCAATACTGCCCTGGTACTCAGCAACATTGAGCTCGTTGATACTTTCTGTAGGTCCTGACTATTGTCGCCACTGCTTATACTTAAGTTTGACCTGCAGTTCGGCACCGAGCATCATTCAACATACTGCCATGCCATAAGTACGCCAATGAGACACTGATTTATAATGGTTATCTTGGGTGTTCACCTTTGTTTCTGAACATTGCTATCAGCCTTCGTACTCTTGCAGCCTATCAGCAAGCTCACCGGACTTGTCCCTGATTCACCATCCAGGCGCAATGCAAAATGCTGTGCCACTTGCATGATGTTTGTACTACCTTACTTTTTTTGCGTTTATTTACACTTAACCTACCCTTCGTCAGATGCCGTATTGCCCATATCTCTGCTCTCAATTTTCTGCTGCTTATGACACTTTTCTTGAAATTGTCTATGTGTTGATGTATTGCTGAAGCAGGCACTCAAGCACGACACTCCAAACTGGTGGCTGTTGAATGCATGCCCAGCATGTACTTACAAACTGGTAGATGAATCACCACTCCAATTTGCTTGGTTTGCCACCATCGACGGTAATAATAGCCTTAAGCGCTGGGCGTCTTCAAGTCCTAATTCTGTTCCTCGTGATGACTCTCGTTGGCCGAGATCAGACTACTGGATCAGTCGTGCAGTAGATAAATTCAAAGACGAAGTCAGGTCCAGAACTGTGGGTGTACTTTGTATCATCAGTTTCAAGTATGTAAAATAACCCTATGACCAGGCACTCGACAAGAACAACAAGGTCAATGACTGGGAGGATGTACACAATGACAAAGAAGTCCCAGGCGAGGCCATTTCCATTGTACAGTCCATTGGCGCAACGCCAGACCCGAACAATACAAGAAAATGTTTTCAGTTTTTGATGAATCCAGTATTTTCATTGCTGCGTGACGTCACCATTTTGTCTTGGTTGCCTGCGATATGATTTGCAGCAGAGAATTGTGAGCACCGAGGCACCCACCGGGACCAGATATACTGAAACTCATATATTATTTAGAGCGAAGTATCTGCTCGCTATAATTGATCACCTAATGGCTGTATATGGGCAGAATGGCTCGTGCTTACGACATTGGTTGCGCATTTTTGAAGACACTGAGTACTAGTTCTTTGGGTCCACGTGCAGATGCACTTGCTTTATGCATGATGGTGGGCACATTCCATGGACATGCTCATAACCACAAGTGCCAGCTGGACTGGTCACACCGAAGGTGAAGGCTGCGAACATATATTCTCATTGTCGAATGAGCTCGCACGGAGTACGCAACATGCTAGTCCTTTCCATGGCATCAGTCTATTGAGAAACATTTCAACTTCTGGGATGCCAATAAATATGCCGCCTTGAGTAAGCAATTTTTGTCAGTGGCGCCTCCGATCCTGAAATCTCGTAGGCAATTTTTTGTTCAATCATTACCGGGAAGCTGTCATATACCTGATCGTCCGCTCCGATATTAATATCCGCTCCGCTTTCTGACCACCTCTGCTCCATCCATCCTCCGCTCTGTCCAATCACAGTCCACATTCCGCTTCTACGCTTCCACTCGACGCCCAACCGGTCCCCTTCCATAACATCTCTATTCAACTGGATCCGCTTTCCCCTTTTAGATATATACTTCCCCCTTTGGTACATAGACCCTTACTTCCGGATCACCGGTAATTCCTATTACCGCTTGATCACTGATCCAACGCGTACATATTGATATCCGCTCTGACTTACAGTGGCTCAAAAAAGTGTCCGAATGTTTATGCATTTTCAAGTAATCGAACAATAGCAAGGCAGAGCCCAACAATGACCAAAGGGTATAGGGACATGTCTGAAAGCCCTATATCATGGCTCAAATCTGAGATATATAGCGTGGGGAACCCGACCATATATGGGCAAGCTATGGTAATTCTAAATACATGACTCATTCGGACACTTTTTTGACTTTTTATTGAAATCACAAAATCAGACCATTCATACATAATACTCTTAATTAAAGCCATGTCATAATGATAATATGGTATGATTGCAGTATTATTTGAATATATAAACCCACATAAGATCATGAAATCCAACATAATCATCATGAAGTCCATCTCCTCTGCTCACAAGGATAATATCCTTGTTCTCTGTACCTCTGGTTTATCTACTTGGCAAATTGCCTCAAAAACTGGTCTTGGAAAGTCTACTATTACTATAGTCATAAAGCAGCACATGCCAGAGAAGGAAAATCATTAAATGGGATGTCCTCCCAAGCTTACTCCACAGAACAAAAGAGCTATTGTTCACCAAATTCTATCTGGCAAGGCTTCAAATGCTACCCAAGCTACCAAGTTCATCAATTCCATCATCTCCACTCCTGTCTCCACCAAAACTGTCAGAAACACCCTCAAGGCAGCCAATCTTAAGGCTGTAACCAAGAAGAAAAGACCTCCTCTCTGTAGCTCATAGGAAGAGAAGACTGGCCTTTGCTTGAAGCACCAACATTGGAGTGTGGAAGACTGGAAGAAAGTTATTTGGTCAGATGAAATAAAAATCAATAGAATGGGGTCATATGACCAGGAATATGTGTGGAAAAAGGCAGGAGAACCATTAGGAGAAAGAGAAGTCAAGGGTACACTGAAGTTTGGAGGAGGAAGTATGATGGTATGGGGTTGTATGGGGTGGAATGGTGTGGAGATTCTTTGTGAAGGTGGAAGGATAGATGAATGCAGAGCAGTACATCTCCTATTCTAGAGGAGTGTCTACTCAAAAGCATACAGGAGTCAGGAATTGATGAAGAAGACATTATCTTTCAACAAGATAATGACCCCAAGTACACCTCAAAACTGGCTACAACATGGTTTGAAGACCATGATATCAATGTTCTATCATGGCCAGCACAGTCTCCAGACCTCAATCTCATTGAACATCTCTGTGAATTACTCAAAAGACTACTTGCTGCCTATCAAGATCCTCCACAGGGGCTATTTAAACTATGGGAGAGAGTTGCAGCAGAGTGGAAAAAGGTTGCTGAAGAGGAGTATCAAAAATTGATAGAAAGTATGCCTAGGAGGATTGCAGCAGTTATTAAAGCCAAGGGGGGTAGCACCAAGTACTAGAATCATAGAATAGTCTTGGTTAAATACAAAGTCAAAAAAAGTGTCTGAATGAGTCATGTATTTAGAATTACCATAGCTTGCCCATATATGTCGGGTTCCCACCAATATATCTCAGATTTGAGCCATGATACAGGGCTTTCAGACATGTCCCTAGACCCATTTTGTTCATTGTTTGGTTCTGCCTTGCTATTGTTCAATTATTATAGAAGGTGACCAGTCAGGCCAGTTGAGTCAGATGCAGAAGCAGACGATGTGATACTGGAGGCGGAGGGATGGATGGAGCAGAAGGTGGTCAAGAAAGCGGGGAAGGAATGTAGAATCAGGTGGAGTGGATATTGATATCAGAGCGGTCCTGATCAGGGTATATGACATCAAGAGAAAAGGAGTGATATCCAGCAGAATATGGCAAAAGAGAGCTACAATACAAAGTAAAATGGAAAGGGCATACATTGAAAGAAGCGACCATGGGAAAGCAAGGAAAATCGGAAGAACCCCCAGATTAGTCAGCAAATTTTACACCACACATCCTGACACTCAAAATTGCACCGAATTGCTAGTTCTTATCATTCCAATTCTGCAGACACCCGGTTTCCTAGAGTGGCAACAGAAAAATATCCAACCATCCTATATTTGCGAGGATGCTCATCCTAAAAAGGGGGTAATGTGATGAATCCCCAATATGAATCATTTTTTATTTCTTGGTTTCCCTCTGGTTACTTCTCATTCCCAAACTGGTCACGTGACTTTGCTTCCTGTCACAGTTTCACCTCTTCACATATCACCCGTTGTTTCTCCAATTGGTTCCTCAACTCCACAGGCTAGAACAATCTTGCTTCCAGAAAAAGTACTGGTTGGATCTTGGGTTTCTATTTAGTCACTGTCCATGACTCATTGCTTATATATCCTGATGTCATGCTTCATCATCTGCAGTTGTTGTACAACTCTTTTCTCATTGGCTGATTTGTTTCATACTCAAATATCTCCTATTCAATGTTATGTATATAAGTAGGTTAGTTAGCATAAGCACTCCTTAGACTTAACCTCTTCGTTTCTACACTTGTGATAGACTTAGATGTTCACGCTCAATCCTATCTTTGTTCTTCATCATCGTCTTTGACCGAGTCCTAGTGTCATATACCGGATCCGAGTACCCCCAGTACCACCTATAAGCATCCCCACCCCTGGTCCAACCCCCTGTTTCCCCGTCCGCTCCATTCCTCCTTCCCCGACAATGCATGAAGTGCATCTCAGCAGGATTAGCCCTGCTACCTCCACCCGACCCTGTTCCACTTCTCTGACATTACCCCTATGTCCCCCGACCCCATACCCCTTCCATCCAACCCTATCTGGGGTTCCACTCCTCCGCCCTATTGGTCCGCCCGATCCTACTCCTACTCCCTCCGCTTTTCCAACCCATGGGGGTCCTTCAGTTCCGCTCATATTCCCCCACCCAACTGTTAGTCTGTCCGACCGCCTCACCAGTCCACTCCTAGACTAGGAACCACTCAACTGGTCCTATCCCCGTTTAGTATCATAGTTCCGCTTTTCGGATCACTGGTAATCCCTATACCCTAGTGATTCTAATCTGTCGTGTACATACTGTTCCCTGAGCCTTATTCTTGTATATCTCAGTCATCCTATTGTATTCCTGTACACTCAGCACATAGCCCTCTGCTATGCTATGCTCATCATTTAGAGTATATAAACACATGTACATTGTCTGTAGATACTCAGTCTGAATATTACCTTTTCTAAGCCCTGCTCTTCTGTTCTTTGACTTGGGCCTGATCCTAGTCAACTCCTGTTAAAGCCGGCCTAGGGGATTGACTCCCTAGGTCGGCCATCCTCCAATCCTTTGATCCTCCAATCCTCCAATCCTCCAATCCTCCCCCGTTCCCCCCTGTTCCCCGTCCCCCGTTCCACCGTCCCACGTTCCCCCGTTCCCCCCAGTTCCCCCAGTTCCCCGTTCCCCATTCACCGTTCCCCCATTCCCCCATTCCCCCCATTCCCCCATTCCCCCGTTCCCCCATTCCTCCACTCACCCAACTTCCTGTGCATTGGGAACTAGACCCCGCACTCTCAACATCTGTCCCCTCCGTTCTGCTCTGCTTTGGACTTCGTCCAAGCAGTTCCTTCTGCCTCCACTTCTACTGTTGGTTCCAACCCCAGTATGTCTCCCGCCTCCCTCCTGTCAGGTGGAACAACCCCCACCCAACTTTCCCGTGCTCACCTAGTAGTCCGTCGGTCCTCCTTCAAAGGACCCCCGTTCTGACGTCCTGTTGGAACCCATAGAATTTGTGTTGGACTACATTCTGAAATTAGGGGCACATACTTGGGTAAGGGGTGCAGCATACGAGCTGAAGCCAAGCCCCTCAGACTCCACTTTACCCCTGAGCATGGTCTTAACACCTAGTGGTTGTGTGCTTGCCTTTACCATTTGGTGAATGCTGGTCATACCAAGGAATGGGAGGAAGTCAATGAGGATATAGATATGGATGATGGTGCCAGAGTTGAGACCATCAAAGCAACCATTCCAGGGGCAACTTCTATGACTATCATGCATTCCATAGGCATATTCACCCACAACATATTCTGGTGTCAATGCCATGGATCTGAACCTCAGCAGCATGTGCAGCTGCTCAATGCAGGATTGTTTCCAGCCAGTATATCACATCCTCAAACTGCTTTCACCTTTGAAGTCCTTGATCATTTCCTCATTGATGCACTTGAATGCAAGACCTCTGCCATGAGCTTCTTTCCAAAGCTTCATTGTCTCACAAATAATGCTTCTCCAGACTTTGTTCTGGTAAATCATCATTTTTTTTACAAGATCATATATTTTATTCACCAATCCCTTAGAATCAGTATCATGAACTCATGAGGACATCTCATCAATTCAGAGATTTGATGAATCGTAAAAGGTTCAGATTTGGTCATGATATGAAGGTACAACCTGGTCAGGGTGAGCTAGCTTCATTCTGTGCTGCCTGTCCACAGTCTGGCATCAATATGCCACTGTCTTGGCATGACAAGTATGCAAGGCAAGTAGTTTTTTTCCCCCAATGTCCACAGAGAGATGGTCAGCCTATAAATACTCTGTGTACAAGCAGGCTGGCTGATGGCCTGATATCCCTGATGCTGACTTAATTTGGTAGATGGCTGGTTATGCAGAGATACATTGTGGATGGAAACTTCACTGCTCAACACATGAACATGAAACAGCCTCAGCTTGATGTTTCCCTCTCTGATGGCCTAGGGTACATGGTGACTGAAGGTGAGTGCCAGGCTCATTTATCATCAGCTGTGGAAAGTAAGGAGGTATGTTCATTTTTGTTGCTTTGATATCTGCCATCCCTTGTTGAACAGAAAAACAAGAGATTTTATTGCAGCAACCATCGTGCGGTCAATGCATCAAATACAAACCAAAGTAATCTTTGAGCAACTGGAGTTACTGCCACTGCCTGTGCATGGCACAGATGTTTTGTTCCACACTCTGTGGTGGATTTTCAGAAGGGTGAATAGTAGCCATGTTTCTGTTGTTTTGAGTGTTTCAGAAGGCTAGTCAAAGTTCCTAGCCACATAAATGTTGACTACTCTATATGCAATGCTATCAATTACAGATCAGATCAATTTGACACCTCCCTTATCATTTATGACATAGCATGTCAGTGGTGCATTCATTTGTGTTTTCCTATATATATGCTATATCTATTAATGTAGGACACTTCAGGAGGTCAAATAAGGACAGGAATCTCTTCATATATACTTCTAAACATGATCTGAATGCCCTGGGACACTTCCCTATCAAAGGGGCAAGAATGCAAAAGTGTTCTGCACCTAGGCTATTTTGAAATGGCCCTGGAGGAGTATACCAAACTACTACTTATATATGAAGGGGGATCTATTGTGGTGTGGTGGTGAAGCTGTAGTGAGGTGCGGAGGGTGTGGAAATAATTATAATTGTGGGGTATACTATATTGGGTGATGTTTTTGGTGTTGTGACCCACACTGTGTGGCTGAAAAATGCGAAGATGTGATTTGTCGGAATAATGTGGAGAGGCTGTGTCATATACCTGATCCGACTGTTCTGATACTGATATCCGCTCCGCTTTCTGACCCCTCCGCCCCATTCATCCTCTGCTCCGCCCAATCACAAGTCCGCATTCTGCCCTATGCTTCCGCTCAACCGCTCAACCAGTCCCCTTCCATAACCTCTCCATTCAACTGGAGCTCTTTCCCCTTTTAGATATATGCCTTCCCTATTGGTACATAGACCCTTACTTCTGGATGGCCAGTAATTCCTATTACAGCTCGATCGCTGATCCAACGCGTACATATTGATATCCACCCCGACTTATGTCTTTGCCTATGTAAAATACTTACAAACTATATCCTTGGTACATAGCTTTACTACATAGTTATCCTGATCACTGCCTCATACATAGAAGTATATAACATATCCTGTACTTAGATATTTTTCCTCAGCCTTAATATTACTTGTCTTCTTGCAGTTACATCTTGTGAGAATTCTCAGTAGAACCTTGCCTCCTCTGGACACAAGTCTCAACTTGTTGTCACCTCCGACCCTCCGACCCTCCGCTCCGACTTAGAGCTGTGTTCTAAGTCTTTCCCTTATTACTCCGCCCCTATCAAATATCCTCCTTTGCCCCTCTGCATTATCCTCCGCCTTTCCTGCCCCTACCAACATTCCCCTGCTCCTATCCCCTCTCCACATCACTCCCCGCCTCCTCCGCCCCACTCCTAGTTGGCCCACCACTAGTAGCTCTTACTCCCCAACCCTCAGAGCGGACCAAAGCGGTCCAATCGTCCTACCATTGGACAATGTCAGACCTGCTCCAAATTCGGGGCACGTACTTGGCTAAGGGCGTAGCGCAAGAGCTGAAGCCAAGCCCCGACCCCTCTGCTTCTTGAGTCGGCACGGTATCTAACAGGCTGACATGAAGTGGTGACTAAAATAGGATGTGTGTTGCACAAAGTGGGTACCCGAAGTGGAGCTGATCATTACCAGCAGCATTATGCATAGTTGGAATCCATTATGCATAAAGGCTCACCCATCAAGGACTAGAGAGAACCATACATAACCATACAATTTCTTACCAGACATAATTATGCATAATATGGACAGTATAACCTGTAGGCCAGTGAATGACCTTAGTAGTAAGTACTCAGGCCATACTGTAGTTTTAATGCATTAAAATAGGCTAAGTAGCAGACATTTCATGATGCATCAACATTGCTCAATCCAAATAGAGAAGGTGATGCATTACTGATGCATTGGTAATGCATCAGGCAAAATACTTCGTCCCTTGCTTCCTTTAATTACTAAGCCCTCTAAATCTCAATAGGGGATACTTCTGCATACCTCTGTCCCTTGCTTCCCCTGCTTTCCTAGCTTACTAATGTCTTTAAATACTTTGTACCTTACCTTCCTTGCTTCCCTTGCATACTAATGCCTTTAAATACTTTGTACCTTGCTTCCCTTGCTTATTAATGCATTTAAATACTTTGTACCTCAGCCACTTGTCCAATATAGGAAAGGAAAGTACTCGGCATCAGAAGATGGCACCAGAATGATGTCATTCTAGAGTTTTTTATTCACCAAGTCCCACTAACACTGTTGGCGTAATTTCTGTCAAGGTTTTCAAGCCGGTAAAATTGTTCATGTTCATTTCGTGCATGCAGAGTTCAAGAAAATATTTTTGTTGCTGTATTACAATAAGAGGTGTATAGTACTACAAGCAAGATACACTAACAAAATCAACAAGTTGATATCTAAACCTTATTCTAATGTCGTCGTGCCCTTCTGTTGCAAAGAATATATCAGTGTCACTCACAAACAGAAAACGAATGTGTGTACTTGTGTGAACTGTAGTTGCCTTCAGCATTTTTCCGCTTACCCTTCTCAGCAACAGTTGAGGTACCAATCTCATTGTCGCATTCACGTGGATTGAACGGGACAGTGTTATGTGCATGCAGATGTGGGGCTTCTGCAGACGGTGCAGGCACTTGAGTTCCATCGAAATGATTTCTGCACCTGGCTTGGGGAACAGCAGGTGAGTTGTTGAGGTCATTGCTATCCTCTCCTTCCTCACTATGTACAGATGGAAGAAAGACCTCTTGAGTCTGTGGAGTTGACGAATATGGGTTGTCCTCGACATCCCAATGTGAATTCACGGGAGGCACCTGAGGGGAACCGAGCATGTTGATGTTGAAGGTCGGATCGTTGATCACAGCTGAGAACACTGATGGATCAAATGCTGAAAAATCTATACTACCCTGTATGATGGGGTCGTTCAGAAAAGGATTGAGTACTAAAAGGTCCATGTGGTCCATTGTTGTGAGGTGGCCCGTGGCTTCAACGTTGAATGATGCATCACTGGTGGTAGTTGGTGATGCATTAATAATGGCGGGAAATAGATCGGCCCCTTCATCAGATTGAGGAGTCATGCGATAGAGGTAGTTCCCAGGATCCTCCTGCAGTTGACTATGCCCACCCTCACCACCGCTCTTTCCCCACTCCTTGTCAGAGTCCATGTCTAACAACAATAGTCCAGTGTCTGACTCTGACTCTGACTCCGACTCAGACTCCCATGATAACGTAGACTCGAATGCTAGTTTGAAGGTAAGGCACATCTTTGAATAACATGTTTAAACTCACCAATAGACTTTTTGACAAATTCTAGGAAGGCGCTCTGCACGACGTCAAACTTGTCGTACACTTGGTCAAACTGTACACCACTTTCGACTTCTCCTACATGGTAGCTTAATGTGAATCAATCATGAGTACAGTTTTCCTAGCACATCAAATTCTTTCACTCACTTAAACACTGACACTTCACCTGTGCTAGGATCATGACCCCCCATCAACACGCTAAACTTCCACCCTCCAGTCATATGTCCAAGGTACTTGAGGACTCGATCGAGCATGGGGCCTGAGCTCATGAATAGCTCTTTTTGTTAAATTTAGTCAGAACGAACCGTTCGATCATGTGGGAGAGGTATGTACTTGATTTTGGACATGTTGTCAATTTTTGGTGGCTTACCTGACTTTCGGTGTTCATGTTGTTTTGTATATCTCACCTTTATTGTTTTGTACTTCTTGTCAATCTTGGCTTTGATGACTTCACTTTCGTCTGAATACATATGGCACGTGATCTCGCAGTGTTTGTTCAACTTTGGACCTCTATTGGTAATGTGTTCATTTTTGATCGCATTGTCTGCAGCGTGCTTGATCTTTTTGTCGTAGTATTTGTTGGAATATATGTCGATTTTCTGTGGTGCGTGTGTTCCTTTCAGATTGACGCCCCCAGCTAACATGGCGTCAAATTTAAACACCCCTCTTTCAGCAGCCTGAGCGACCTAAGTGGGCAGGATTATTCTGCCATCTGAACCAGGATGCGATTTGCTGTCGAGATCTGGTAAGTACATGCTCATTTTGCATGGTGAGCATATCCCTGACTTGCCTTTTGACGGGTTTTCACAGTGCATTGCTATATACTCCTCTTCTTTGGTCGTGTAGACATGCTCAGCTGGCAATTCTGGGAACGACACCTTGCACTTGGGCCAACATTGGAACCATTCAACTTCGACACACTTCAAAAAATACTTGTAGTGCTTGTTCAAGGCATGTGTGCAGGAATTCCGGAAAATGACTGAGGAGGAATTCCTCTTGTTCTGGTGTGGCCTACTTTTTCTGCAGGCATCTGTCATCACACTGATTAGCATACACCAGTGAAAAGGTTTCTGGACACACATTAACGCGTCTGGGGGACAATGATATTTAGATAGGTAAGCAAAAACATGGGCAAATGTTGTTATGTGCACCCTCATTCTTCCTAATAGTACCTTGGTCTTTCCTATTTGTGCACGAGGCCGAGTTGCGAGTTCGCAGTTCCTGACAATCGAGATACATTTTGCAACTTCATAAATTTAACTACGACCTATCCTTCTCCCCTTTTGCATAATGACGCCTCCACTCCCACCCAATATTTTGCACAGTGCATATGCTGTCTGAGTCTATGTTCTGATATGTATTAAATCCTGCTCTATGTCTATGAGTTGAATGGCAAACCTTCGTGGCTTCCTGATGGGAAAGTACGCATGCAAAGTTGCCTTGTCAGAAGTCATATACAAGGGGGTCAACTGCAAGAACAATCTAATCCTCTTTTCACATGAGGCGTGAATACAGGCAATCAAGTGCAAGTGACTGACTTACCCAGTGACAATACTCAATAGCACCATGTTCAGGCCAGGTTTCAAACCACTTGGAGTAAACAGACTCCCAGAAAATGGCTATGTCTTCCGCTGTTCCCGAGTTGATGAGCACATATCCGGGAAGAAATGTTTTGAGCATAACGCACTGCTCGCGCATCAGCACTCCCATCTGCATCTGGGACATGGACATTGGGTGAATGGGAGAGAAATCTGTCGAAATATGCACACAATAAGCAAGCCAGAGGTATGCCTCTTCCAATAAAGATTTGCACCATAGCAACAAATCACCGGTGGAAGCTAGAAATAACATTTGTTGGTGCTCTATCTAACTGCTTAAGTGAATGATGGCAAATCTTCGAAACATGCTCCAAAAACCTCAACATTTTCCAAAGACAGACTCGATCCATCCGCCCTCCCAGACCCTATGACTTGTGCCTCAGACAACACTTTTCAGCTTATTTATACCATCGGTATAGACCCTAAATGCACTCATCAGTAGTGTGTTCATTGAAGCGTGAAAACAGTATATTAAACCTTCTCTTTCCTTCTCACAGAACAAGCAACGGCGATAGCCTGCTCTCCAGAGAGTTTGGTGACACCAGGAAACAGTCTCTCCTTGTCTGGCCAGCGTGCAAAATAGCGCACATAAATGTTGTTAAAGAAAACAATATGATCTGTGTCATCCCAGAGCCTGAAGTATTCAGCTGAAAATGTCTGCAGAAATTCGTTAAGGATATTAGCGAGCATATTCATAGGGCTTACATTGCAAAGATTTACACTATCATCTGGTATAACAATCCTCCACGAAGGAATTTTGGATTCATTTCTTTGTCCATCTCCCTCGTAGCTGAGTAGCACCATAATTCCTCTGTGGCCATTGTGATTGCCTTGGACTGACACATCACACCAGCAGCTGCTGCATGACCCAAATTGTCGTCCAAAGTTTGCAGGTATTCGTGAATGCGCTCCAAAGTCTCATGTACGGCTTCTCTGTTGTCTTGAAAGTCCTGTACCATCTTGATAAACAGAGGTTCGAGTTTGGTAGAAATCACCACAAGGTTTGATTGGGCATCCTCAATATCATATCTATGAAGAGTACAGTTGAAAGTTAGTAGAATCAGTCAATATATCAATGAAAAGTCGCACATATCACAGTTCTCGTGTGCTGCTGGAGATGGTGGAGTAAATGATGACTCGGATACACTCTGTCTATAGCAGTTATAAGAATTGGCAAGTGAGCTCAGTGTAAGATTTTTAAAGGACACACTTGGGGGTCATGGGTGCACTTGTGAGATTTCTACACTTTGACTTAGTAGTATTGTCCCTCTTGTGACGATAATTCCTGGCCATCTTGAGCCCAATCTCCCTCTTGTTCCTGCGTTCATCAGTATGTAGTCTAGAATTTGTGCAGGAAACGTACTTCGCATAGTATTTACGATTAGAGGTGCGGGCAGCTTTGAGCCATGCCTCTTCAGTCTTGTATAGCTGTGGGCGACCCATGAGTGTGTGACTGTGAAAAGCAGTGGTGGGCCAGATGTGACGGTAATAAACTTCAACTTGTCCAAACATATTCATCAGAGATTTACGAAATTAAGTATCAGTATCACAACAAATCATATCTTCAGACTCGGATACAACACAAGACATGATATATATGATACCTTAAGACAAGCTGTAGGCAATAGTGTTACGAGCCGGCCTTGCACATAGAGATACCTTGGATCATTCAGTCTTTCCACTTAGTAGTAAGTACACGGATGGATGAAATCTCAGGATGACTCCTATCACAATTCTGCCAGTACCGTTCCTTTCATCTTTAGCTTAGCTCACTACTTTCAAACTTGTTCCTTTGAATTACAAAACTTCAATAGCGCAAAGTAGTACTAGACGACCTCAGTACTAAACATGTCATATTCGAGCAACATATCCGGTGTGTTGCCTGCTTCACCTGTACTCAGACTCTTCAGTTTCAGCCATACTGCAGTTTGGTTGCATGTCCACTCATTCTGCAGTGTCCGATGCTCCGCCGGTGTCATCGCAACCTTGCCATGTGCTTCGACTTCTGGTCTTTGAGATCTCGCGGTGTTGTTCTGTCAAACATTGGAAGGTTGCGGGAAGAGTACATAATAGCAACCTTGTCAGCTTCAATCCTCCTTGTTTGAGTCGGTGTCATTGCAACCTTGCCGTGTGCTTCGACTTCTGGTCTTCGAGATCTCACAGTGTTGTTCTGTCAGACATTGGAAGGTTGCAGGAAGAGTACATAATAGCGACCTTGTTGGCTTCAATCCTCCTTGTTTGAGTAAACACATCTGATTCTACAAGCACGAGTGCAATGTAACTAAGACACTATGTGTATAATAGCTCTCAAATCAACAACTTAATGTCCCCTCGATCAATTGCGTTGTTCATCAGCTGCATGCCTTCGGCAAGCGAACGAACCTTGGAAAAGGAAGCCCGACTAACACCAATGACATGCAAGGAAGTCTGTTGCCTAAGTCAGGAAATTGGTCAGCTAACCAGCAAGAAGCAAAGTGGATGCAATGCACCAAGTAGAAAAGATACTGACACGGCGACCGCAGGTGACCCAGTAGTAGGGCCCTGAAGTGTTGGGAGCGGGAACATCATATCTAATGTTCCTATATACCTGGGTATGCACAGTGGCAGCAGGAGAGCTAGCAGCCACACCTCCAGAGCCAACAGGTACACTAGCTGTGTTGGCATCAACAGACACAGTGGCTAAGAAAGTGTCAACAGGCAGGCTGGTTGTGGTAGCGGCGGAATCATCGATCTCATTGGGAACAGGTGACATGTTGACAGTGGCCTCCACAGTAACTTCACGCACTGTAGCCATGACAGTGTCCTGTATGAATTCCCAGAGGGCAACTGTCAGTGCAACTGCGTTGGGCCCTGAGATATTCAACTGCTCAAAAAGAGCAGAGAGAGAATCTACAGTCAAATATTCAGTATTGTCAATTTTAAAAACTGATATGACTTACCAGCAGTATCACCAGGACCGTAAAAAATGGTCGCTACAGGTGCAGGAGGAGAGTCAGAAGCATCACCGGGACTGTCAACAATGGTCGCTGCAGGCATGGGAGGAGAGTCAGCCACACTTGTGGTCAATTTATAAAACTAATAAGACTTACCGGCGGCATCACCAGGACTGTAAACAATAGTCGCTGCAGGCACGGGATGAGAGTCAGCCACGCTCATGGTGGTCATTGCTATCATCATCCAAATGAGTCAAGTAGGACTCACTGAGAACAGGCGTGGCTTTTAAGCATTTCACGGCCACATTGAAGGCATACTGAGCCTTGGTGACTCAATGGAGGAATTTTTAGATGGGGAGTTGCATTAGGGAGTTGCAAGATGCGAAGAGGAAGGGTTTGCAAAGAGGATGTGTTTGGCTTTGTTTGTGTTGTCTACAGTCTACTGGTAAGTGTATTGCCTACTGAGGGAAAGTTTTGCTACGCTGGTTTGGGCCAAGTCCGAGGCCTAAACCAATCTCTCCATGCCAAGGTGATACAATCGCACGACAAGTTTGAAAGGATGCTGCAGTCTGAGGGTGAGTAATATCACAGTGAATGCAAAATATGTACGGACACTGACATTTTTAGGTGGCAATGAGCAACCTCCACCTACCACAATTCAGGCGGTTCACTTGCCTTGGTCATGGCAGGAAATTGATCAATGGAAGAAAAGTCATGAACACCGGAAGCGAGCTTGTTTGAATGCATATATACCACCCACTGCTTCACAGTCATGACAGGCAGTGCACACCTCAGTAACCTTTGGAGGGCATCGTGATGGGCCAATGTGGATCAAGCGTTGCAACATCACAAGCAACCTTCCATGAATTCTATCTATGCACGAGTCTACTCTACCTGACAATGAAAACTCGTTTTCTTTGGCCGATGATGATCCCATGCCCATGGATAATGTTTTGGGGGATGATGAGGCCTTGCCTCAAAGGCGCAGGCAGATGGCAGCAGTAAGACTCTCACTCTCAGGATACTCATCCTTACTTACTAACTGGTGCCTAGGATAATCCTCTCCTTTCTTGGAAGGGGGAACGAGACACTTATCTCGCCGAACTGATCCGGTTAGATGGACGCAGTGATAGCTCTAGCAATGTGTGCGGGGAATGTTGTGCCCATGCACAATTTCGATGTCTGGATTGTGACAACTTGCAACTGTACTGTCGCGGATGCACTGTGGCCAATCACTCGTGGTCTCCTACCAATCGAATACAGGTACGTGTCATCATTTCAAAAACGGAAAAAATATCAAGCTATCTGCAGGAATGGACTGGTGTTTTTTCCAGGTCATGTCATTGAAGGCTCTCAGCCTTCATATCCAGCTTGGGCATCCTGTTGGCCAACACTGCATTCTCCCTAGATAGGTGTTTAACGGCAAGTTTGTGCTAATAGACACGAATGGCATTCATGAAGTCGGGTTGGATTTCTGTGGATGTGAAACTTCAAACTCGCATGTCAGACAGCTTCTTCGCCACGGATGGTTCCCATCAACATCAACTGACCCGAGGACTGCAGCTACCTTTCAACTGCTGTGCCATTTCCAACTTCTATCATTCAAATCAAAGGTGTCCACCTATGAGTTCTACCACTCACTAGTTTGTCTGACGGATAATATGGGTCTCACAAAACCCAAGGTAAAGTACTTCGTCATCTTGTCCACTTACTTGTTTGTCTTAACCTTTGACTTTAGGACCGTTACAATGCATTCTTATGAATGGTTCGCGAGTGGCGACATCTCAAGATTTTGAAACACTTTGGTCGTGGACATGAAGAGGGCAGTGTTAATGGCACATCACAAGGTGAATGTGTCATTATCTGTCCAGCTTGTCTGCAGCCTGGTAAGAATTTGCACAAAGGCTGGGCACTTGCGACGAAAGCCAACCAGTGAGTATCAGAATTTTTTTTGAGTATGAATATGGGCTCATGTGATTCAGGTGGTTGTACGCCACATTTTTGGCAATTCACGTGAACTTTTGCTTAAAAAGACACAATGTATCGAGCGACGAGGCAGATCCCAGTTTGTCTACAGGGTGGTCATATTTTGTGGAGGAGGCCGACTACAAGTCCTATCTAGGCCAACATCTTGGAGAAGTACAGGAGGTACACAACCCCGATCTAACTTTTTGCATGTTTCTGACTCCGTTTCACAGAAAAGCACATGCTCCAGTCATAACGCGGTGAATATGGCCAACACTAAACCATCGCAGGGACTGGCTGCCACTGGTGTTGGCACGATAGACTGTGCATGTCATAACATGAAGCATGCTAATGGAGTCGGTGATCTACAGAAGGGTGAGAAGTATGTTGAGTGCTCACAATGCTTATGTGTCAATGTGTCTGACCATTTTACAGGTATATCAACATGGATTACCTTTTCTTCTCCAGCTTGCACGACAATTCAGTCAAAATGTTAAATGTGTCCTACAACATCACGTGTCAGTGGCATAAACACCTCTGGTCATGCATGGAATCCCTCCCTCATTCCCATCATTTAGATTATCTTTCAAAGGTCATCCACTTCTTTGTGCCAAAGTTTCACCTTCCCGCGCATGTCACAAAGTGCCAGACTAGATTCTTGTTCAACTTCACTCGTTTTGTTGGCCACACGGACGGCGAAGCCCCAGAAAGAGGATGGTCAAATATTAATCCTGTGGCTGCAAGTACAAAGAACATGGGCCCAGGGTGTCGGCGAGACACGCTGGACGACCATTTCGGCGACTGGAACTGGAAGAAGGTGGTAGGGTTGGGCGCATCTCTCCTCCACAAGATGAAAGACGCTCGTGTTGAAAGGGCTGAACACCAAGCAGCTTTCAAGGAGTTTGATACCGTGATTACCCCCAAACATCGCGCAACATGGCTAAATGAAATTGAGGCCTGGGAAGAGAATCCTAACGACTTGACACTGGCCAATCCGTTTGAAACCAAATCTATTGGTGGGTGCTTTACTTGCTGGCAATCCCTCACTGACGGCGCATGTAGCAATCACACAGGCAGGCGCATGGCGAAAACTAGCCGAGCTGGAAGCTGACGAGCTACAGTGCAGGGTAGATGTCTCCCTGCACCCAGAAATATCACCTAGCATACTCATTGCATCTGGCCTAGATCTCGAAGATGAACAGTAAGTGGTTATCTGCAGAATATCGTGATCCCGCTAACAATTTTCAAGATGTCGTCTTAGTTCTCTGATTGACTCCATAGGCCCTCATGCCACTGATATACAGCAGGGCAGCCTCATTCGGAAGCGCAACTCTCTCCGGCATAAAATTGAGACCTGGAGGGGTGTCCAGGTCCTTTACATGCCTGCAGTACAGAGTCTTATTCAAAGAGGGCACGAAGACCACAAGAATGCCGAAGATCTTACATTGTGGCTACCTTCACGGCTACGGAACAAACCTTGCGATCAGCACCTCCAGAATGACGAGTGGGAACTACGGTATGCACAAGCTCATGATGCCCTCGAAGAACTCTGTCAGTGTCTTCGGATACACTTCTCGCTTCTGACATTCAAGCATGAATGGATGCATGGTCAAGGTGCCAATACACGAGGCCAGAACGCCCTCGCTCATGTCCACGCTCGGCACACTATGTGCATCAATCGCTACAGGTCAGCTTGGACGGCATTAAAGTCTCTGGCCATGCTATTGAAGAAGAAGGACTGGCATGGAAAGTTGCAGGAGCTAGTGGATGACCATATCAAGCCGCTCGTGGATCCTTTCAGTGTCGGACAAGGACGACGTCAGGTTTCGTGGATCTGGATGATGGAGGGCATCGATTGTAATGGCAATGAGAGTACTGATGACGGTAAGTATCCTGAATGTGATTTGGATGTGTCTTGAACTAAGACATTACCAGGTGTGTGCATTGAATGGTGCAAGAGCCGTGCAAGAGCCCTACGTTGGACAGAAGAGATAGAATTGTTGACAGAGGAAATGGGGAGAGTCGTCCGTTTTTTCAACTGGGAGGTACAGCGGTGGGAAGAATGGAGAAGTCACTGTGTGGGGGGGAACTCGGCTGATACTGAAGGTTTACAGGCATATGCAGCGCGACAGGCTGATATCCGTTGGAGGCTCGCCAATCATTTTGGTTGTCTTTGGGCGCCTTACCTGCCCCAGATGCTGGACCTATCTCTGTCTATCACATCCCCTGAGCGCGAGCTGCAATTACCTGACTTAACGATCCCCAATGTCCCCCTTGATGGGTACTGATGATTGCTTCTGTGACATTCTGGCCTGATCGATGTAGTGCCTTATTCTTGTCCCATGTATTATATAATCTTTGAATTGATCAAGATCGCGATTTAACAGTACTCTGAAGTGGCCGGGGAAAAACTCTTAATTGCCAGGCTGATGGGTACAATCCTATCTATCTAGGCAGCCTGAATTATGTCTGCTAGTTAGCATCAAATCATGCATCACTGATGCATCATGAGAGTATGCTAGTAAGCACTGTTGATGCATTACCTGTGTCTGCTAATTAGCAGACTTAATGCATTATTCTTACAGAGAGTGGTGAAGTACTGGGGGAATTCTAATAGGGGATGCAGCTAAGTATTTGGCAATTCTCGTATAGTGATCGAAGTATTGTTGTACAGCCGGCTGTCTGCAGATAAACATTGCTCCTCCTGGGTATCTTGTGACTCGTCTCCCCCACCTCTTCACATCACATTCAGCAGTTTGCCTTCACAGGTACTGTAGCCGGACAATGCCCAAGCTTTTTTGTCAACTTGCCGGTGGCCTGGTATGATCGCTAGCATGTCAACTGAGAACAATGAGCTACACAATATCCGGAAAGCACTTACGGTCTCATACACACACTGCTCCACTGGTGAGCCACTATTCTGAACATCGGCGTAACTGCCAGCCTATCAGTTACTTCGTTCAATGAAGATATGTGGGTATGACGCACAGACACGATGTGGTATGGGCTACTGGCCCTGGGATCGTCTTCAACAGGGACATGGAACCACCATCCCACCAGACTGTGGGTGGGCACTTTACACACGCATTGGCACCAGTGAGGAAGATTAGCAGCGCAAAAATGATGGAACGGGAAGTAAGCATGATGGAGTTTCTGGGAGGGAATGAGGCAAAACCATAGTAGCAGGCAGGTGTTTTATAGGCTGAAACTTCCTGTGTGAATGTATTGAAAGGCGTTGCTCGGATGCCCTACTTTTGGCGAAAACAGTTGAGCCAAAATGCATGATAATCTCCGCAAATTTGAGAAGAACTGTGGACCTCATGAGAAGATGTGGCAAGTACTGAAAAGGAGACGTAAAGCACGATGGGGTCGCAGGGCACTAATGAATCTCCGGTTCCTTGGAGGTCTTGGCTTCGCCGCGTTGCTCGTCAGATGTGCACGTTCATTGGACGTCGCGACTTCCTAAATGACACTCTCCGGAATATGATCATCCTTGAATCGATGAAGGTCAGCACGGCACGCCCCGTAGATGCGAAAACTCCTGCGCAATGTTTTGAGTTTGGTCTTCCATAAGACAATTCGCGGTCAACAAGACGGAAGGCGTGATGATAGATTAGGCCGACGCGGACCGTGGACACGGCTTTCTCCCGAGGCGGCAAGATGTACTAGGCTGAAGAATGGCTATCGATTGGGCGTGGTTACCAAGACCTCGGAGTAGGATGGATGACATACAGGCCAGGAGGGTTGCATCAGAGAGCCAGAGCAAGCTGATCCCAAGAAGTACACGACAAGGACGTTGAGAGTATGGAATCCGTAAGAAAAAGTACTTGCCTTATCAGTGATCACTGCATCAAGGCGAGTGGGGAGATTGGACCGACTTTCAGGAAATATGCAGCGATGTGTCATCAGGTGTACCGGGGTTTAAGACCCGGCCCGAGTTGCTCCACTTTTAGTCTGACGATGGCATGGGTTTACAGATGCCGGGAATGAAACTCACCAAGTCAAAGGTGAGAGGAACATCAGACAAAAAGTTGATAAAAGCTGATAGTAGATGTTGCATTGGCGAGTATAACTGAGTGGTGGGCATGTGACAATGGCTCATTCTTGGTTTATGTGTAGTACCTCTCACTACTTTTGACCATCTCACCGTCACATAGTATACCCCCTCTTGTAGTACAGCCCGGAATGTTGTCTCGATCGCTACGACACGACTGTATTAAATGCCGCATTGGCCAAACATTGTCAATTGAGGAATCGAATTCACTTCCCTACAGTCAGTCCTCCTCGGCCTAGTATCCGATTCGCTGATCATTTGCTGTAACTGGCTAATGTAAGATGCAACTATTTGATGTCTCATGACAGATGGTGATGTACTGGCGTACACCCGGCTGTCTGCGAATGAACATTACTCCTCCCGTTGGGTGTCCCGTCTCCCCCACCTCCTCACATCAGATTACGCAATGTTCCTGCACAGGTAATGTATCCGGACAATGTATACTGCTTTTTGCCAACTGCTGTCCGTTACCCTGATATGATCGCTAGCATTTCAACCGAGAACAATGAGTTGCATAACATCCAGAAAACACTTACGGTTTCATACAGGCAGTTCACTATTGAGTAGTGGCCATTCTGGTCATCGTCGTAACTGCCAGCCTATCAGTAACTTTCTTCAATAAAGACGTGTGGTTGTAACGCACATGCACAATGTGGTCTGGTTATCTAGTGCGATCATATTGTATATATGCATGACACCACCGTCGTGCGCGATTGTAACTGGGCACTGTAGACACGCATTGGTACCAGCGAGGAAGCTGAACAGCGCAAACATGATGGAGTGGGATGTAAACATAATGGAGATTGTAAAAGCGAATGAGGCAAAGCCATAGTAGCAGGCAGGCGTTTTATAGGCTGAACCTTCCAGTATGAATGTCGCTTTGCTGCGGAGATGGAGATGCCCTACTTTAGGCGAAAACCGTTGAGCCAACAATCCCGCAGACTCTGTGGACGTTATAACAAGTTGATGTGGCAAGTGCTCAAGGGAGAAGTGCGGCACGATGATGCGAATGGATGCCCGGTTTCTGGGCAACCTTGGATTCTCGTTGCTCGTCAGATATGTGGGACGTTGCGACGTCCCAAGCAATACTCTCCATGACATGACATGACCATCCTTGAATCGATGAAGCTCAGCACGGCCTCCTCATATATGCCAAAACTCCTGTGCGACGTTAGAGTTTTGGTCTTCCGCAGAAGATTCGTGGTCAACAAGACGGAACTTCGTACGGTGCCAACACTTGAAAAGTCAATTTTATATATAGGTGCCGGTTACTAACTGTTTATAGCCTTTGGCGTAATTGATAACCTTATAACCGTGCGACTACCTAAAGTCATCTCATCTTCGTTGAAGAACACGTCTAAAACCGCTGGCAGGAACGGCGGACTGGTAGGCGTACGCATCACACCAGGGCATTTGTGTCTTCAGAGGTGCATTAGAGACAGAGGGGTCCCTTAGACTAGAATGTAATGTCCTACATAGAATATCTCTATCAATGAATGCCAAAAAAATTATAGCACTGTTAGAAAGTAATTGGGCCTGTTTGAAATTGTGAATAATTGTGGTCATGCAGGGTGTCAGTTAGCCACATGGATTTACACACAGCGGCAAGGAAACTGTTAGTCTCGCAACCGCAACGAAGATGCGGTGGCTAGGCTTGGCTAGGTTACCCAATATACTTCCGGCCTTGCGGTCCCGCACCGCAGGAGTCGAGGGGATGACCAGAGTGATAGTACCGCGAGCTAAATGCATTCTGGTTTCACGAGAATGGAACCAGGGCAACGATGTGTTAATGCAGTGAAGCAGCATAAAAACGCGCAGTGCACGCATCTCTGTAGCTTAGAGCAAGACACTTACGATCCCTCCACCCGAGCCCATTTCGACCTCCGACAGTAAAATGTCGGAGCTCAAAGATCATACAGACGCCATACACACTGTAGCAGGTTTCGTCCATGGCCACGGGCTCCGACGGCAAGACACTTTGTCTGTGGGTGTTGAAGACAGGTACTGTGTTGAAGAAGATAGAGGGCACAATATGCTGTAACCATAATGCATTAAATCTGGTACTTACCACAACTGTATTGCATTAGAACATGCTAATCATCAGAGTTGCCTCCCCCAGTACACTAGCTGTCCGCATATGTATTCCTATCGTCCGGCAATTATATATTATTCTTCTTCGGCAACTACATATTTTTATTCCTCGGTAACTAAAATCTTGACAGAAGACCGTTCATTGCAACGAAGCGCTATGGCACAATAGAATATTAATTACTAACATCAGTTTTCCGGGGATTCATTGGCCGCTGATTCATTATGCTGCCTTATTTGTTTCAGTGGCTCTCCCTACTGACTTTCAACGTTTTCTCCTGCTGAAATTCATCGGCTCGCCTTTCCACAGTGACTGCTGTGTGGGGTGTACGACATTTGAAGCTTTGAAGTTCAATCTGTTTTTGGAAGGCGGTTGTTTGCCAAAACCTTCCGAACCAGACAACCTTTTTCGCAGGGAGTCTCCATTGTGTTCTGCCTTCTGTGCCGCTGCCATAGTCCAATAAAACCTCACCGGCTTGTCTTTTCGATCATACGTCCATCTTTTCACCTTCCATGACATTCACCAAATCGAACAAGATGGTGCTCGCATCCTCTAGGTCGCGCATCAAAATTAGGGACGAACGGCTAGCAAACTCTACAGTGATCTAAAGTATGAACTCAGTATATACCAGATGTCAGTCTGATGATCATCTATCTCCAGAAGATATCATACGCGCACGTCAACTAGAGCCCCTCCATGAAGCATGGTCAAACTGGCCTTCTGCTCGTAACCTTTGTGATCTCCCATACCATCGTGGATCCTGGCTCAATACTACCACAGTATTACCTCGAAGAAACACTACCTCTCATACAAGATCTCGACCCTACCATGCGCACCCTAGCATCCGAAGAATTCACCACCCTCACTAACACCCTCTCCACCCACATCTTCATATCCTTCCCCTCTCTTCTCGTTCCTCCATCGTCTCCGCGCGATTCGCATGCACTGCTGGAACTGAAAGCCGGCGTTGGAGGGTTTGAAGCGGCTCTATTTCTGTTGGACCTTCTGCAGATCTATATTCGATTTGCTGGTTCAGTCTGGTGGCGAACACACAAAGCAATGAAACACAGCGGGAGGATGCATGTGTTTAAAAGCGAAGTCGCTTATGATGCGCTGAGGTGGACGAGCGTTGTACATTGTGTGTGGCGCGTCTACCAAATTATATTGAGTAGTGGGTGACACGCCCGCTTTCAGGCTTTTCGTTAGCGAAGATGCTAAGAGTATGAACGGGAACAATGAAATGGAAGACATGAAGGTGATGCGGTACAGGTGAACAAGGTGGGCTTTGACTTCAAGCAGCCTGCCTAATCAACTCCAACCACTGTCCTCAGCACTTCAACAAAACAAAATTTGTAGTCCGTCTCACCCATACACCCACCGGTATCATCGTTTTCATGCGAGACGAATGCAGTCAACATCAGCCCGTAACCAACGCCCATACCATCACCAATGATGTTGATCTGAACTCGAATAGAACTGGCGTCGTGTTTTTCAAGTTCTTCGCACTCGTCTGACAGAGTCCAAGGTCGCCCAAGATATTGTCTCCCGCCGAGCTACCTGTTGGAATCTGGTGCGCACCGCTGACCGCAGCGAGAAGATTCGAACCTACACTTATGCGCAGGATCGCGTGACAGATCATCGGGTCAGTCTCTCCCGCATGAACCTCACCGGCTTCCTGGTGACGGCGTGCAGGAGTTTCTGGATGCATTTCACCGAACTGGCAAGAGGGATGTGACTAGTTGCAGCCTTCACACCGTTTGTGGATGCTTGGCGGTCAAACTGATGATTGTGTCGTTTTACCAGCAACTGTTGGGGCACGGTCGGACTCAGATCAAGAGAAAAGAGCTCTTGAATGAGTTCCTCGAGCTGTCGAATGGTCAGTGCTACCGTGACCGTACGTTGCCGTACCATTGGACTTACTTGGCGATACCGTATGGCGTTGTCACGTAGATCTGTGATAATGTGAGCAGCAGCTGCGAATATGTCATCGGGAAAGTGCATCTTGTGTCAACATGCATGATAGTATTAACGACCCATGGCTACGACCTTCAACCGAATCCGAATCACTTACGAAGCTGATTGAGAAACCATGGCAAACGATGATCTGGGGTAAGTGTCGTTGCCAGCGTCTATAAATCCATGCCGCTGACTGACAATCGTTAATTACGGAGCGACTTTCTAACAATGTTATAAACAGTTAATAAAACACCTGTCCATGAACATTCGTACCCTACGACTGATCCGTCTTGTTGACCACATCCACGAACCTTCTGCGGAAGACCGAAACTCAAATTTTGCGCAGGAGTTTTGGCAGCTATGGAGCGACCGTGCAGAGTTCATTGATTTAAGGATGGTCATATTACGGAAAGTGTTGTTTAGGAGGTCACGACGTCCGATGAACGCGCACATATCTGACGAGCAATGCGAAGCCAAGGTCGCCCAGGAACCGGAGATTCATTCGTACCACCGTGCCGCACATCTCCCTCTGAGTACTTGTCACATCAAATTCTCGTGACGTTCCCAGAGTCTGCGGGATTATCATGCATTTTGGCTCAACTGTTTTCGCCCAAAGTACACGGGCATCTCAGCAAAGCGAGCAACGCATTTACGTTTACACTGGAAGTTTCAGCCTATAAACCTGCCTGCTACTCTGACTTTGCCTCACTCCCTTCCACAAACTCCATCATGTTTACTTCCCGCTCCATCATGTTTGCGCTGCTAAGCTTCCTCACTGGCGCCAGTGCGTGTATACAGTGCCCATCTACATTGCAGGTCGATGGTAGTACCTCGTACCTAGGCGAGACCTCCAACTTAACCGACGAGGTCACATATTGCGAGTGCGTCGCACCCACACATCTCCAACATAGTAACTGATAGGCCGGCAGGTACAGCAATGCCAAGTTGATTGGCAGCGACTCAGCAGTGGCTTGTCGGTATTACACCGTAAGTGCTTTCTATAATGTGCAGCTCATTATTCTGGGTTGACATGCAAGCGATGGTATCAGAAGACAGGCCAGATTGAAGATGGGTATCATTCTTGCCCGGCTACCGTCAGTGTGAATGGTAAGTGCTGAACGTGATGTGAAGAGGTAGGGGAGACGAGATACCTAGTTGGAGGAGCAGTGGTCGTCTGCAGACATCCGGGTGTACGCCAGTACTTAGACACCATCTGTTGCGAGAATTGCTAGATAGTCTTGTTTTGTCTCAGCCAGTTGCATCATCCCAACCACCTATTAGAATACCCTCCCAAGTGATGTGTAAGGCTTTACGAGTTTGACGGGGAAATAAGTACATAGATTATGAAAGATGTGAGTGAATGGGGGTCAAATCACTACTGGTACCGAAAAGTACGGACGTGCTTTTATACGTCAGGGAGTGGCTCGTCAAAGCGGTACTGCAAAGGGGATTCCATCATCAGCGGAGTGGCACTCCTTACAGATGATAAGTATTCGCAATCATCCCGGAAATCAGTCTGTCAATGCCCTGGTAAACAATACTGTTTTTGATACTCCTCCACAATACCTCAGGACAACCCTCCTAAGCTAATTAGCACTATTTATAAGTGATTAGAGCCAATTTACGATAATTTCATGTTATTAGATGGATTTTTTACCCCCTGATAATAAGGCAAAAATTAGACAGAACTGAGCAGGGATTCAAGAACATCAACACACATTCTGTTGATGTTAGATGAGTGAGTTTCACAAATTAGATCACCATCAGACACAGTCAGGCAACCGATCGTTGTGTAGCTTATGTAGTTCGTGATTTCCAGTGCCTCGTGCTGGCAGCATGCAGGCTCAAGATGTGACAACGAGATGAAGGATACAATTTCAACAAACGTTGTATCCGCTCGTAAATGAGCTGGGTAATCGGGTACATTGCATTGTACTGATACCCACAGCCTTGAAAGTAGCTAAAGCCATCGTTCTGCAAAAACTCTTCGAATACTGTACTCTGGGATACTTGGAACCCCAAGTATATGAGTACTTCGCATTCTATTCGTGCAGTGCTCTCCTCTTAGGTCGACCAGTTGTAATACGCGAACACATCCTCAAGGACCTTAACAGATGGTTTGTAAGTACTGACGTACACGACTGTCTGCAGACGAACATTGCTCCTCCCGTTGGGTGTCTCGTTTCCCCCACCTCCGTTCAGCAGTGATCCGTCACAGTTGCTCTAGTCGGACAAGAGTCAAATCCTCCTCCAAACTGGCTGTTGGACTGATGACCGCTAGCATGTCAACCGAGAACAATAAGCTGCACAATATCCAGAAAGCACTTACAGTGTAATACGCACAGTGCACTAAGTCGCCGCCATATAACTTGGCACTGTAGTAACTGCCAGCCTATCAGTTACTTTGTTCAACGAAGATGTGTGGGTGCGACGCACGAGCAAAGTATGACCGGGCCGCCTGGGTATTGTGGGATGGTACGTTCGGATACGTATGTGGCAACATCGTCATGCTCGACGTTAAATTTGGCTGGGCACTTTACACAGGCATTGGCGCTAGCGAGGAAGCTGAGCAGCGCAAACATGATTGAGCGGGACGTAAACATGATGGAGTTTGTGGAAGAGAATGAGGGAAAGTCATAGTAGTAGACAGGTCTTTCATAGCCTGAAACTTCCAGTGTGAACGTAAAGGCGTTGCTCGCTGTTGCTGCTGAGATGCCCTACATTAGGCAAAACGGTTAAGCCAAAATGCATGATAATGTCCGCAGACTCTGGAAGAACTGTGAACCTATGAGAAGTTGATGTAGAAAGTACTCAAAGGGAGATGTGCGGTACAATGGGGTCGTGGGGCACGAATGAATCTCCGCTTCCTGGGAGGCCTTGGCTTCGCGTTGTTCATCAAATATGTGCACGTTCATCGGACGTTGTGACTTCCCAAACAACACTCTCCGTAATACGACCATGATTCGATCAAGCTCAGCACGGCCGCCCCATAGATGCTAAAATTCCTGCGCAACATTTGAGTGTTGGTCTTGCGCAAAAGGTTCATGGTCAACAAGACGGATCTTCGTAGGGTACGGTTGAAAAGGCAATGTTTATAAGCAGGTGTTAAATATTCCAATTATCAACTGTTTAGAGCACCGTTAGAAATTTATTCGTAATTTGGCTTGCTGGAAATTGTAAAAAATTGTGGACATGCAGGGCCATCTCCGCCATTCGGACAACTTCATAGCTGCAAAGCAGAGGCCTGGCTACGGTCGCAGAAGACATCGGAGGATATGCGGCAGCAAGGGGTACCAGGCTGAAGAATGTCTATCGCTCGGGTGTGGTTACCAAGACCTCGGCGTAGGATGGATAGCATTGAGATCAGGGGGGTTGCATCAGAAGACCCAGAGAGCCATAATAGGCTGATTCCGAGAAGCTCGCGATGAGAAAATATTGAGAGTATGGAATCTGCAAGACGAAAAAACACTTGCCTTATCACTGCATCAATGCAAGTGGTAGAGGTATTGGATCAGCTTGTCTGGAAATGGTCAGCGAACATGCCGTCAGATGTAAAAAGTTGCACCAGTATGTCCTTATCGTCCCAACTTACATAGCTTGACGATTGTTAGTCACTGGCTGGATTTATGAACTACAGACAAACTCACCAAGTCAAATGAGGTCACAGGAACGTCTGACAAGAAGTCGATAGTAGATGTTGCATCAACAAGTACAGCTAAGTGGTAGGTGCACTTATCTGGAGGGTAGTACTTAGTACTGAAACATCGATGCGCAAATTTTATGTCAATGGTCATTGTACAGAGACATACCTTGTGTCCATCAGTCGTCTTCATGATTACCGGAGTCTCGCCAGACTTCTACTTTGCTAAGCTCCCTATCAGTCTACCAGTTATTCTGATGAAGGGCAAGGACGAAAGGGAAAATCGAGAGCAGCTCTGAACAATTAATATGAATTTCAGAATTCCAGCGGCCTCGTCAATTTCGCTCTCCCGCTCTTCGTACAGAACCCCCCACTGCTCGAAATCAAATACCGCAATAGTCTGGCCCAAGATAAGCACTCACGCATAGGGTCGTACTCAACACCGTCGAGCGTCTGGGATGGAAATTTTTCACTCAGGCCACCACCTCTCTGTGGTCAAGGATTTGGGCTATGCGTTACATGATTGATGGCGCTCCCAAACACCCGTAGTCGCATTCGGTCAATAATTGGACGCGGGGCTCGCACAGCTTCGACTCCTGACTGTACTGCACCGCTAAGTATTTGGACAGGTTTGGGGAGGGGTAGCAGATGAGAAAGACCAAGACCAGTTCCTGGAGTTGCCAAAAGTTAAGACTGAATTGTGCGATGAGCAGAGCGCTGGAAGGAAGGTCGTGGCGCCCTCGAAAGATATCGTCACAAAGTGGAGATAAAACGCGCCTTGGAAGCTCCATTGCAGAAACGAGTAGCGATTTGGGGAGTGAGAAACTTCGGCTGCGATGTTCATCTAACGCACACGCCCCTTGAGAGAGTCGAAGGGATATCTGGAGTGATAGCACCGTGAGCCACATGGATCCCAGATTCGCGAGACTTGTGCAACAACGTACGCGAGGAGGAACGGTTGGTGATGCACTGGAGTAGCAGGTCCACATGAGCAACAGTCCGTGATTCGTGAAGCTGTGCAGGGTAGATAGCGATCGTGCCATTCGACGAGCCTTGAGCAGTGAGCACCAGCAGCTAGGATTCGGGGGGATCGGCTGCGAGGTGGCGCATTTTGAAAGCTGTGGGGATATAAGTTGGAGTCATGGTCAGAGGTGCAGGGGGTTATATCGTCGAGGACGGCGCGGATGATAACAAAGAGCATTCGTGCTGCAGCCTTAATGGAGGTGTGGAGACGGATAGCCTCTAATATCCTGGGCGTCTATGAAAACACGAGGCATGTTAATGCGGTGAAGCAGCACAAAAACGCACAGTACACGCACCTGTGCAGCTTAGAGCAAGACAATCCTTCCACCAAAGCCCGCCTCAACCGTGTTCAACAACATCAACCTTCAGTGAAATGCCGCAGCTCATTACAAGCACCACACCTAGAGTTTAAATGTCATGAGATGCCCATAACGCAATCTCCGTTTTGCCCCATACTACTAGACGACGTAGTATGGTCACTGGCTCAGACGAGAAGATGCTTCGTCTGTAGGACTTGAAGCTTGAAGACAAGCATCGTTTTGAAGAAGATGAAGGGGCATCGAAGTGACTATTAATATTGGCACGATATGGGCAAATAATAGCAAGTGGTGATACAGTTGACTATGCCATAATGTATACGCCCTTAGTGTATATTTTCAATACTGTATCGAGTTTTCAATGGTCCCACTGTGGGACAGTGAGAAAATCGATGCATAATGTATATTGTATAATGTATTGACCTCGCATGCCTATTATACATTATCAGACGGCACTTTTGGTGGTGGGGACCATTGTCAGTGCCAGCTATTGTCCACACATCATATGAAAACCCCATGTACGACATCGTGCCAACCAAGAAATCCACAAACCACATTTCCATAATGACTGCTGAGAAGTATTCCTGCACGCCAGCTTCCTCCCACTCGGCTTACAGCCCTCGAAAGCGAACTAAAATCTTCTCTTCAAGAATTGAAGGCTCGGAATCGCATTTTTGGTGAACCACTATCCTTAGACGAGCTGCTCGAGCCGGCTGAGGAAAAACAAATCGGGGATTCCCTTGGGTTCGACTTGAATGGTGGGGACATGGCCATTGTTGTTGCAGTCAGTCGAGAGATCGCTAAGAAACAGGGTGAGGTGATTGAAGCTGATTCTGATGATGACTCAGAAGAAAATCATGATGCAGCCCCAGAGGTTTCCCGTGTAGAAGCACTAGCGTTATGTCAGCGGCTCGAAGGAGCATGCCTTCAGCAATGAGCATGGACATTCTCAGGACTCAACACACACACTTGATTTGTTAAAGCAAATCCGTCGTTTCCGTGCCCAATTACAATGCGAGGAGCTACTCCATGCGAGGCAGACGACGTTAGACTCGTTTTTTAAGTAGATATGTACTCTTAGCTCTAGCACCTTAGATTTTCGACGCTGTTGAGCGGTGTCACATGTGTTCGTCACATTTAGTCACAATGTGTGACATCGGTCCTTCTGTATAACTTTGATAATGTATAGGTGTGAGGTGGGTCCCGACGTTATACGTTATGGGATAGTCAACTGTACCAACGGAGACAACATCGTTTGGCATGGAGAAACCGTCATCACAGTAGCTCGATTGAGGTGCAGGCCCGGGGATTCCAGGAAAGCATTGAAATTTGACACGCCACTCAAACTCTCTAACGGAGTCAGCTTGTATACGAGAACCAATCTTCCAATTTTACTCCCAGCTCGTACAATCATGATAATGGAACATTTTCCACGCCTACCACAAAAACCTGACCCTCGTACTACATAGTATCAATCAGTACGGTATGTGACAAAAGTCAGGTATTTCTTTTGTGGCACAGTAAGTCGCCGGCTATTGACCCCCACCTGTTACTATCCTACTGCGATGACTATCCCTTAAATACTTTCTAAAGTTCTACAAGCGGCCTGACATCCGATACTGTCAGTGACTCAGTATCTGTCTCTTTTTTTTGCCCGCCGTTCGATATGTCGTCGAACCAGAATGTCGGTCCTGTAATTAATGTGTTACTGACAATTTTGACTAGTTGAGGCAGGCTCGTGTCACGAAGATAAGCGCGTCATGAACTACATACCTGCCACGAGTCAAAGTCAGGGGTCCTATTGTGACTGCCGGCGCCGTAATTCCCAGCAATAGCGCAAATTGTCAGCAGCCCACTGTTGCAAATGCTGGTCGATATCCGATACTCTATGCGAATGCTCACTTCAGCCATCCTATCTCAAGATGGTGCAGTAGACACCTCCCGATCGCGTTTCTTGACGAGTCCTACTCAACAGGAAATCTACCATCGATCAATCTAGCAATTGAACACAAGTTCTCGTGCCCGACTGTCCGAACTTTACCGACTTACGATGTTGATAGCACTGTTTTCGCTGGGACAGGAGTTTTCTTGTTGCTCTCTTCCAGACTCAACATCCGCACCTTCTGCAGCAAACTCTGAGCCCCATTTCTCTCGTAGCGAAATATTCAAACATATTGAAAAGGACTGAGAGCGCGATGTCAGCGCCTTCTAGAACAATAGTGAGTCCAAGGCCCAAGGCTCAGCCTCGTCTTGGCCCTGTGGTTTCTTCTGGCTTCACCGAAGTAGCGGCGTATACTCAGACGATCTGTTCGCAGTCGTACACATCCATGTGGGACGGCTGATTATGACATTGTCGTCACCCCTGAGTTGACAGTTGAAATGCGGAATGGGCCTCGAGTTGCTGAATTATCATTATCTGCTTTGTCATGGAAATGAGACCTGCTTTCATTGCAGTTTGTTCCACACCCCTGGCCCAGAGGTGTCATACACTGCCCCGTGAATGAAATGACTGACTATCATCTGATTATGTAGCCTGGATTGCACGCAGGCCTGGGGGCGCACGGTGCGATGTTTTCTTCTGAGGGCGCACGATGGCCGCATCTTGGGCCTCGGACTGGATCATGGGGAGGTTTGTGGCCAGACACAGCGAAGACTCCACTTATTTCATTTTCTCCTGGCAGAGAACCATTCATACCCGCACTATACTCCCGACAGGGGTTTTCCTGAAGGTTTAAGAGCAAGAGTCATTGACAGCCATCACATC